GGGCCACAGGGCTGTGGGGACCTTCCAGCCTCGGACCCCTGCTCGCAGATGCCCTGCAGTGCTTGGAGCCTCCTTTTGCAAATAAAGTCGGTGCAGCTTTTGGAGAGTGGCTGGGTCCGTGCGGGGTGCGGGGTGCTGGGGCGGGGCGTGTGAAGGCAGCTGGACACGCGAGTGGATGCTGGAGAGAAGGGCTTCAGGGAGGGAGGAGGAAGAGAACCCTGGCGGCTGCTGCCTTTTTCTTGTAATAACTTTTATTTTTCGTATCATTTCCTACATACAGAAAAGTTGCAACCATTCCTGTGTGCCCTTCAATTCGATTCTCCAGACATTAACATTTCCCCTTATTCTCTTTACCCTTTTATTTTTTCTGAACCATTGGGCAGTACATTGCAGGCGTGATGTTCCCTATCCCTGAATATTTGAGTGTTTCCGGAAAGCAAGGACATTTTCTTGCATCTGTTGTCAAGGTGGGGAATGAACACTCTCGGATGTGTCATCTAAGTCGCAGCCAGCGTTCAGATCCCCAGGCCTCTCTCTGAACTCCGCTTCCCCGACTGTATTGGACTCCAGCATCCCCTCCCAACCTCAGGGCGGGGAGACCCCCACACTCCCTTTCCGGGGTGTACTTATATGCTGAGTCCTGCTGGGGGTGGGGGTGGGCGGGAGCAGAGGCTGCCACGGTGGGATCAGCACCCCCCTCCTTGACCAACACACTGAGGGGGGGGGCGGGTCCAGAAGCCAAATATGACCATTGCCAGGGTTGCCCGACTGCTGTGTCCCTGTTCTTCCCACTCCTCACAGAAGTCCCCATGTTAACAATAGCAGCTGCCACTCATTGAGCCACCATATCGCAGGCGATTTAAGTATGTCATCTTATTTAATCTTACCCACCCAGGACAAGATGTCTTATTATCCCCATTCCCTAGAGAAGGACGTTGAGGCTCAAGGAAGTTAAGTGACTTCCTTTGGTCACACAGCTCATAAGTAGCACATCCAGGATTGAACCCAGGGCTGATGACAAGGGCCTTGGCCTTCCTACCACCACTCTAATGCTTGCTTCATGTCCTGGAATGTTCCCGAGATAAAACAGACGTGGCCTAGCGATCCCTAGAGGCTATTGGCCAGCTCTTGGCCTGACCTGGCCCTTCTGGTCCCGTAGGCTCAGCTCTAGTGACACCTCCTACGGGAAGCCTTCCTTATCCCACTGGCCACAGCACCAGCCACTGTCTGGACTTCTCTAGCACCTTGTTCGGCGTGGTTGTCTTTTGGAGTGTCTCGCCTTCGGTAATAAATTGGTGACAGCGTGATTTGATCCAGGGTAGTGAGTGGGCCGGCTGAGGCAGCATACTTCTGGCCGGTCTGCTTGGCATTGTCACAGAAAGAGTCTCACGTAATTGCTCAATTATGGGAAGAGGTAATGAGGTCCATTTTAGGTGCAGACTCAGGCTCAGAAGGGTGATGTGACTCGTTCAAGAAGGCCCAGCAAAGAGGCAACGCTGACACTCAGATCTAGGTCTAGAAATTGAGCCTTGGGATCTTTTTAGCACACGCAGCCATCCACCAGGAAGTAGGTGGCCAGAGGTTCCCAAGGTTCCTGAGGTGGGTGGCTGCAGGCAAGAGAGTGTGGGGACGCAGCACTGGGACGCCCGGTTGGCCAGACAGCGAGAATTACTCACTTCTGGCAGCAGGTGGCAGTATGGGCAAGAGAATGGTTACCCATCTTGGATCAGCCGCCAGCTCTTACATTTGGGACACCTGTGGACTTCGAGCTGGGGTACGCCTGTCCTAGGATTTTTATTTTAAATTTCGATGTTTTGTTCACCACGGATTTTTTTTTTGCATTAATATTTATTTTTACAAATATCTCATTCAAGCATTATGTATCATGATTACTGAGGGTTTTTTTTGGTGCTTCCTTCAATTTTGTACCCCAGGTGAGTGTGTCACTCACTTCACTAGTCCCGGCCCTGGCTCAGAGGCACAAAATTAGGAGAATTTTCCAGGGTGTATATGAACAATGATAAGGAATCAGTTTCTAGATCGTCAACTTCTGTGTTGCTCTACTAGGTTGAGGCCTCTTTCACAATCACCCTTTCCCTCTTTGCCTTGGTGTGTTGCCTTCGCAACAATTTGAAATATTGGTGTAGGTGTTGAAGAAGCAGAGACTGGGGGAACACTCCTTTTGCAAGGGTTCCAACAGAGGGCACTTTGACCTGTCCCCGAGGAGGTCAAGTGTTAAGAGATGTCACTCTTCAGTCCCACCAACTTATCTGTTCAACGTTTCTCAACATTTACAGCTCTAAAAGTGAAAACTTGAATTATTGATGCAGAACTCTGCTTCATTTTATGATGTATGAACCAATTAAAAAAGAAAAATCCATGTTTATAAAAATAGACACTAGACCTGTGATGTTTTGCTCAGCTGTGTGCTAACAGTAAATGGGTTGAGAGGATGCTGGCAAAATGTTTGAAGAGCACTGGCCTAAACCCTTCCTCTGAGAACAATGTATTTGAAAGGAGAGTAGCTCTCACCCTGGCTGGGTAGCTCAGTTGGTTGCAGTATTGCCTGATACACCAAAGTTGTGAGTTTGATCCGAATCAGGGCACATACAAAAATCAACCAATGAATGCATAAATAAGTAGAAGAACAAATCTCTCTCTCTCTCTTTCTCCCTCTCTCTCTCTCTCTCCCTCATCAATAAAAATAAAGCCACACACAAAGAAAGAAGATGTCCCTCCACTGATGTGTCCTTGATGCCTTAAACCTCTCCAGTGGTTCTCAACCTTCTGGCCTTTTAAATACAGTGCCTCATGTTGTGACCCAACCATAAAATTATTTTCGTTGCTACCTCATAACTGTAATGTTGCTACTGTTATGAATCGTAATGTAAATATCTGATATGCAGGATGGTCTTAGGCGACCCCTGTGAAAGGGTCGTTCGACCGCCAAAGGGGTCGCGACCCACAGGTTGAGAACCGCTGCTTTAGGCACTTTCTTCCTTTGATTTTGGCTTTGCTAAGAGAACATGGAGATATTAATAAAATGAGCAATGTGTATGCTCCTAATGTGTGCTGGGCCAGACCCCGAAGGCCCTTACCATGTCCTGGCAATAACCCAGAAATTATCTCATTTAATATTCATAATAACCTAGGAGACAGGGATTACTAAACCGATTTTATAATTGAGGACAATGAGGTAGAGAGAGGTTAATTTTTCAAAGAACACTCATCGATGGGGCTGGAATTCCATCATAGGTCTGTTGAGTTCCAAAGCCCATATCCCATCTGTTATATACATTAAATCCTTGAAGCTTGAAAGTTTCCAGATGCTTCCTGGTGTGTGAAAGGTTCGTAAAAGGGAGTTGATAGTGGTGTGTATTGTTGTGTATAGTACTTGTGATTGGTGGCAGGGGCTCCTGTAAAAACACATTTTTTCCTTCCAGATTTTCTAGGGCTATTTCTGAAGCCTGATGCTAGGTTCTGTGTCGCCTGCCTTTCATGGGTGACTCATTTATGAGCATCGTTTATGAATCTTTCAAGCTAAAAATCATGGCACAGCCTGCAAAACAACGAACCACTTTCCCCACTAGAATGCACTGGCGTGTCATGCAATGTGAGGACACAGCCAGAGAGAACCATCTCCAAGGCCAATGCCATCTTCAGGCGAAAGAACTGGGGCGCACAGGGAGGCTGAGTGGCCAGTGAGGGGAAGCAGAGTTTGCCAAAATATGCCTCTTGGAAACATGGGTTATTTTAAGCTGTTTTTTTTTTTTAAGACTCTCCCCATGCTTCAAGGAATTCATCTAGAAAAACCTGCCTAAAGAAAGGGAGCATCACCTTAGCATCAAAATATGACCTAAGTAAGTGTAGCAGACCGGGAAGAATCTAGAAGGGCTCCCCTCTGTGTCCCGCTGGTGTGCCAGATGCTTGCTCCCGCTCATCTACCTGTGAACTGCCCACCTTCCTCTGCAGTCCCAGACCCTGGCCTCCCTCTTAGTTCAGAATGTTATATATAGGCCTCAACTGCCCCATTTGTCCCAGAGTCCCATATTCTCAGGGAACTCACCTACATACCTATGTAAGGAACTCTCCCCATTGATTATTAAGTTTGTCCTGCAAGGTTTCAGCTTGGCATTGTCCCCAAACGACTGTGACTGTGGAGAGCGGCTACAGCGTTTGGACAGGTTCAAGCCTCGGACTAATGAGAGGGTGCTGGTCCTCTTGTGGCAAAGCCACGTGCAAGTCCTCGCTTGGAGGGCAACGCCCTCCCAGCACAATTGCAGCCAAAGGCTATGTTTGTAAGCTTGATCTCATGGTCCGAACCCGTAGCCCCACGTGGCTGAGTGATGTGGGCTTACTAGATTTTAGGTGCATGTAATTGAGTAGGTTCGAAACCCACGAGAAGGTTGTAAACATCTTGACCACGCCCTTACTTTGCCTCGTGGAAACTGGCTATAAAACAAAGACTCGGCTTGTAGTGCGTGGCGCTGTCTCTCCGTCAGAGGGGGCAGCGTCCCAGCCAGACTCAGCTTTCCTCTCTTGAAAAGTCTCAATCCTTCACTGCCCCCTCTCAGGCTCACCGAACCTGGCTGTGCCGGCTCGGCACATGTGACTCCTGTATTGACAGAGATATGGGAATGATCAGCAAACCAGCAAGGGGCTGTCGGGGCATTCCAAGGCTGGCCAGGAGCACCGAGGGGCAGAAGGGCCAGGGGACGCCACGGAAAGCCATCTCTGTGTGGAGGACACAGCCACACACAGTGTGTGGCCCGGAGCACAGAGCTGTCTATGCCCGCCTCCAGAGCCTGCAGGTGCTCCCGCTGGGTGAGCCCAGTTGGAAGGCAGCTCGCAGCAGGTCCAGACGATGCCGTCTTGGATCCCTGTCGGCGCCAAGCTGTCTCACTGTCTACTGACCACACCCTCCTCCCTTCCCTTGACATAAAAGATGCCTGAATTTGGGGCTTTCTTAAGAGGGATCTGAGGATTAGTTCTCCCATCTTCTCAGTAGGCACCTTCCCAATCAATAAACCTTTCCTAATTCCACACACTGGCGTATTGATTGTTGGCCTTTCTTTTGAAGCATTAGGCACTCGAACCTTGTACCTGTAACTGTCACTGTCCCTGGGCGTCTCCCCTCTAAGCCCATTTAAGTCAGCCATGCTGCCTGACTCCTTGTAAGAGGACGGAGAGGATCAGCAGGGCAGTTTCTCACCCTCAGCACTACCGACGACCTGGGCAGGATCGTTCTCTGTTCCGGGGGCTCTTCTGTGCTTTGTAAGATGTTTAGTAGCACCTCGGCCCACTAGGCGCCAGCTGTGACAGCTAAAATGTCTGCAGACAGCCCCGGCCACGTGGCTCGGTTGGTTGGAGCATCGTCCTGTACACCAAAAAGGTGGCGGGTTCGATCCTTGGTCGGGGCACATGTGGAGGCAACCTACCGATGTTTCTCTCTCAATTAAAAAAAATACTTTTAACATTTAAAAAAAAAATGCAGAAATTACCAAACATTCCCTGGTGAAGCAAAATCGACCCCCACTTTACCCCCCTGTTGAGAAGTTGAGAAACAGCTAGGGCCAGGGGCCTGTGAAGCTAGAACAGGAAGTGCAAAAAAGTATTGGTTGAGACAGACTTTGATGTTTCAAATTCCAAATCCACCATTTCACATGCCTTACAAAGAAACCATATTTCCCAAGCCAAAATTCAGGACACATGACTTAACAAAGTTTGATTTTTTAATCTCCTCTATGAATTGATTTATTCACCAGCAGTATACAGCTCCCATTACTTTTGTATAGGGTTTTCCTTCCCCCACACCCTTTGGGGGGGTGGGGTTAATCCTCACCTGAGGATATTTTTTCATTGAGTTTTAAGGGGAGAGGGAGGGAGGGAGGGAAACAATGATTTTCAGAGAGTGTGGAAGGGAGGAAGGGGAGGAGGGAGGGAAACATCAATGTGGGAGAGAAGCATCGTTTGGTTGCCTCCCGCGTGCACCCCAAGCAAGGCCAGGGATCGAACCTGCAACTCAGGAACCGGGCCCTGTGGTCTGAGGGACGCTCTAACCGATGAGCACCACCGGCCAGGGCTCTCTCCCCCCTTATATCCTCCACAGGCGTTTCCCTTAATAAAATTCTTGCATGTCTAATCCCCTCTTGGCTCTGCTTCTAGGAAAACTTGAGCTGGTTTGAAGACTCCAAGCAAGTGGTACCAGCAGTTGAATCGGGGCTGGGAGGGAGATGCTCAGATGCTCTGAGAAAACCTGCTGCAAGGAGCAGAGTTGACTGACAGCTCGGCGGCCACCCCGCCCGCCCGGCTACCGGGGACACAGACCAGCCTTTCCCTGTTGGCGCCTGGGCAATGACCGAGCAAGGCAGGGGCATCCGAGCTGCGCCATGCCTGCCCGCCTGCCCGGCTGGACTAGGTGCCTCCCCAGTGGCCAGGACAAGGTTTTCTCAGAATTGCACTGCCCTCTGAGGTTCTCCTGCCCAGTCCCTCTCCCCCTGTCTCTTCACTCAGATGCTCCCGGCCGTTGATTCTTCTCCCAATTCTTCCCCCAATAAATCTCTTGCACTTCAAATCCCATTTTGCTGCCTGCAACATTACATCCAAGGTAGTAAGATAGTCGTATTACTTACAATCGGGACGGACCAGAAAATTGCACTGTCCGGTCACACTACCTATGTTTCCCAGAGGGTGGCTTGTGAGGATTGTCTATATTAAGTATGGCCACTTCTTACTGCCTTCCCCACCCCAGTCCCTGGAACTTCCTCCAATAATTCAGAAGCGACCTGCACACCAATGTTATCCCAAATCCTCTCCCCCCACCCCCCCAATCCCCCCAGTATGGCTTCGGAATTCCACTGGATCCACTCAGTGACAACTATGAATCCTCTGAGCCAAGATGCTACTTCACCCCAACCCCCAAACAGATCCCCCTCATTCTGGCCCATCCCTCCTCCTCCTCCTCTTCCTCTCCCGGTGTGAGGACCCTCATCACCCCACCATGAAGACATGAGACTGGGAGGCAGAGAGGCCGGGCTGAGGGGGAGGCTTTGCCTTGGTAGTGAGAACGAGAAGAGCAGCCCTGGCCAGGTGCTCACAGCGGGTCGCTGCGTTCTCCTGCTGAACAGAAGCCCATCTCGCCGATCCCGATCCACCAACATCAGACGAGGGCGGGCAAAACGAGACCGTTCCGTAATCACGTCTGAGCACAGACCAAAACGAGGCCGCTGCACACCGCATCCATCACTGCCCGTCCCCAGCGACCACGGGTGACGGCTGTCTCTACCAACCACGGCTCTAGCTCTGTTGCTTTCGTCTGACCCCCTTGTACATAGAAACCCAGAGCAAAGCCCTGCTTTCTGTGAAGTTCCCCTCATAGCCCTTAACGCAGCTCG